GAGTTGGATGGTTCGTGTTGTTGTTCTTTCGGGTCAGAATCATGCGACCTGGGATTTGAGTAGATGATCATTGTATTCCCAGTATTGTGATCATCATCATCACCTTGATCACTGTCATCACCATCATGATTATCTTTATCGTTCAGATCATTTCCATCAGTACCTTGTTCATCATCACTATGATCATTATCAGCATCTTGATCCTTTTCGTTTGGGTTATCTTGATCACCTTCATCTTTGTCACCACTGTTCTCATCTTCATCATCACCATCATCAGACGAACTTGAAACATGATCAGATTTCGTCTTTCGGCTTGAAGAAGCTGTGGATCATTTTGATGTAGTCTTTCAAGCTCAGTTTTGATTCTACAATATTTCATGATGTCCCGTAATGCTTTCAATTCGTCCTTAGTTACCTTATCAAGAGGGGGTTTGATGATGTTGAGATCAATGTATGGGGTTTTTACTTTGGCTAGACTTTGGTTGGTGATTTTGTAAGAGTAGATTCAGTTTATGTTTTCAAGTCTTGTAGCTTCATAAACATCTTGAGTTTCTAGCCAAGTAAGAGCGAATCGCTCTTCATCCCACATGTTGTTAAGCCTCTCAACAAAGGATTCAAGTTGTGAAGTTCTCCATTGCTGCCAACTGAGAACACGGTGATATTCATTTGTAATAGCTTGGTGGAGAGCCTGATCTTCTCCATGAATGTTCTCGTTGATCACTCCTTTCATCTCTGCTGATTTCCCAGGTTCTTGTGAGAGACTTGAGTGATCAGTTGGTGTGGTCTGGGTCAAACTATCGTCCCTTTCTACTTCAACAGGTTCTTGTGTAACAGTCATTTCGACCTTCTCTATATCAATAGGTTCTTGTGGAGGGATGCTTTTGGTCTTCTCTACTTCGGCAGGTTCTTGTGTAAGGAGTGTTTCGTCCTTCACTGCGTCAGTAGGTTCTTGTGTAAGAACTGAAGGATGATTAAGCTTATTGACTCGTCCTCTAGAAAGATCATCGAACCATTGAAGCGCACTGTTAACTTCCCCCCTTAGAAGTTGCCTCAGGTGAGGAAGATTCGACCCAAGTGGTTTGTGACTTTTTACTCCGCCATACCCAGCAATAACAACAACCCTGCTCCTCTGCCGTCGCCTACCGGGAATCGGGACGTGGGGCGCTTAGTCTCGGGGCATAGGCCGCAAGTTTTCGCTGGAGAAGAGGATCCCGTGTTACTCGAGGAGTGGATCCGGTCCCTTGATAAGATCTTCACCGTTGTGGGTTGTCCTGAGTATCGCCGTATAGAGTTAGCTTCTTTCTACTTTAGCCATGAGGCCGACCTCTGGTGGGTGCATGAGGGTCCCGCGTGCGAAGAAGAGCCTGGTTTTGACTGGTCAGCCCTGAAGGAGAAGATGAGGGAGAGGTTCTATCCATCTCATGTCCGAGCAGCCATGTACGAGGAGTTCTTACATCTTCAGCAAGGGTCGTCATCCGTGGTGGAATACCACAAGCGCTTCCTCGAGCTAGGCCGTTTTGCTCGGATGTTGGTTCCCACCGAGCTGGTAAAGGTGGAGAAGTTTGTGGCGGGGCTCAACTACGAAGCCCGGAAGGCGTTAACTGTGAGCAAGCCTAGGAAGCTGAATGAGGCCTACCTGAGCGCAGCAGATATGTACCGGGTGCAACAGCTTCAGCAGGGGTCTTTTGAGTTTACTAAGAAGAGAAGTGAAGGAAGTGGGTCCCACAGTTTCAAGAAACCGAGACAAGATTTCAGAGCCAGACCTACGCCTTCTCCATCGCAAAGATCAACACAGGTCGAGAGTGGAGCACAAGCGAGGACTTTTGGATGCAAGAAATGTGGGAAGGACCACGTTGGTAAGGATTGCCAAGGGCTTGCGCTTCAATGTTTCAAGTGCGGGGAAAGAGGCCACAAAGCTTTCGAGTGCCCTCTCCAAGCTAATCAGAGAGCCTTGCCATCCAGCGCGAGACCTAATGGACCTTCGGGAGGGAGTTCCGGGCGAGGTGTGACAGGGACAAGGCCTACGGGCAGAGTGTTCGTGATGGGCCGGTCGCAGGCCGAGAATTAGGGTTTGGTGGAGGAAGAGTCGGCAGGTAAGCCGGTCGCAGGCCGAGACTGAGGGTTTGGTAGAGGAAGAGTCGGCAGGTAACCTTCCTTAAATCTACCTTTTACCTTCTTGTTGTGTGGTTTTCTTGTATCTTCCGAGTGAGTTTTATATTTGATTGTTCATTCTTGACTGGTCTATTGTTAGTTCTAATCTCGAAGTTTTATGAGTTATGAGTATACATTTAATTCAAACCTCACTCCAATTATTAAGGAAATCTCTTAAGTTAAGCCTAAAAAGCTAAGGGGAGTTTAATTTGTAACTAATGAGTTTTGAACATGGGCCTACAAATTCTTAACCCAACCCTTAAACCATGTAGACCAATTATGTTTCTTAAGTCTTATCCCACTTAAATTCCTTTTAACCTATAATTTCCAACTTACCCCAAAAATCCCCAAATTAAAATCTTCCTTTCCCCAAATTTCCCCAAAATTTCCCAAAACCCTCCCTCACTTTTCTTCTCCTCCACCCGCAAGGTAGCAGCCGAACCCACCCCACCCGTCACGCCACCCCTGCCCGTCGCCGTCTGTTGCCGCCCAACGCCGCCGAAAGTTTCCGTCGCTGATCCTCCTCGTCGCCGCCTAGCCGGAGTCTCGCTGCTGCTTCGCCAGTTTTACAACCGAAAAGCCGAGAAAGAAGAAGAAGAGAAAAAAGGGAGAAGTTGAGTCTACCTTGGTTTTGGGTCATCTCAAATCATGCCTAGGAAGTCTAAATCTGCGAGGAGAGTGGAATGGGTGGATGCCCATTAGCTAGTCTTGGAAGGTAAAGCTTTTGATCCCGACTCTTTTTCGAATTCTTTGTTGGAGTTGTTGAATTACCAAGGTTTGTTGGATGGGTATCTCGCAGTTAGAACCGAAACTTACCCGAGTTTGGTAAAGGAATTCTACCGTCACATGGGTGTGATCAAAGATGGTGGGAAGTTGGAAGTTACCTCTAAGGTAGGAGGTGTGAAAATTGTCTTGACCGAAAAGCGGTTGGCTCAGCTTTTGAGTTTGACAACTACGGGAGGCTCGCAGTATAGTGGTGACTCTTGGATTGAGATAAGCAGCATGAGTTATCGGAATTATCTAAGTTATCTGTTGGGAAGAACTGGTGGGTTCACCCAGGCCACAAGTCCGGAGAGGAAGTGGCTTTCCGCCGAGCAAAAGATTTTAGTCATGATCGTTTCGGACTATTTGTTGGATAAACTGGAGTGCACTTTTGCTTTCTGTCTGAAATACAAGGTGAAGTTCAACTTGCCTGCGTTGATGTTGCAACATATGGTCTACTGTAGAAATCATAACAAGAAGAGTTTACCTTATGGCATGGTTTTAAGTTGGATCTTTGTCAAGAAGGGGGTGAGTGTTGAAGGCTATGTTAATAAGAACCAGTACACATAGAATCCAATAAGGGTCTATAGTGGGCTCATCACAAGGCCCATAACTACATCCTTAAAGAATCATTGGTGGAAGAAACAAGAAGGCCCAATAATAATTCCATTCGATAGAGGAAAGTATTATAGTGGCCCATTTCAAGTGATATCATGGATCGAAGACAATGCTTACAAGATTCGAGGTTGAATCATTTTCAAGAAGGTGAGGATGATGCGGCCCAACATAATGAAGATCCATCAAGAGTACCAATTGGGCCAATCACAAGGCCCAAGTCCAAACGATTAATACAACTCTTCATTGGTGATATTCAAAGATGGTGGAAATCCAAGTCAAGCCCATTTGCAAAAGATGAAGAAGATTTCAAGGCTTTTCATAATTGTTTAAGTGCTGATTTTGGTGATTAAATTAGGCCCAAATCAGCCCTATTATTTTTGGTCATCATTAATTTAAATTGTTTGGCATAAAAGAGAAAACACTAGTCGTATTTAGAAAGGATTCCTTAAATCCTTTTCTAAATAAAACTCTATTTACTTGTTTTCTAGATTAGGTTTAGGACTCTTTTTCCCATTGTATTTAGATTACAATGCTGCCCTATACCTATAAATAGGGCACATCCATATCAGTTTGAAACAGGCTTTAATTCAATAAAGGAATAAGGGTCAAATAGGCCATCGAACTGCACATGATAAAACAATTAGGCCACTGAACCAAAAAAACCAACAATTAGGTCCCTAAACTAATCAATTTCAAACAATTATTCCAATTTGAAGGTTTCCAACAGGTTAACAGGTCATCTCCCAAATTAATTATTCTTTAAAAAAATAAATATTAAAAATTAATTAGTATAAATTAAAAAAAAAAAAAAAAAACTGGAATCCAGCCGAAGACTACCGTCTCCGGCCGGAACAGTTTTTTTTTTTTTAGTTTAATTTAAAACTAATTAATTTTTAAAATTTAAATTTTAAAAAATAATTAATTTGGAAGGATGACTTGTTGGAAACCTTCAAATTGAAAAAATTGTTTGAAATTGATTAGTTTAGGGACCTAATTGTTGGTTTTTTAAGTTCAGTGGCCTAATTGTTTTATCGGGTGCAGTTCGATGGCCTATTTGACCCTTATTCCTTCAATAAAATTCTTAAGTTTTTCTTTACACTTGTGTAAGAAACCTTATGGCTAATTGTGGACTCAATTAGTGGCTAGTCGTGGACTCGACTAGCAAATTGATTCGTGGACTCGAATCAATCTTACTTTCTTCAACCTTAGATTTAGGTTCGTGGACTCGTTCTTGAATCGAAGGAAACTAGATCCGACTCTAGTTGATTGAAGATTGCAACATCGAGGTACTTGAAGCTACATGGGATTCTTCCAAGTCTTTGAGGATTCGAGACAAAGGGTTTCTCGTGAGGTTTAAGGTATTTTGATCCATCTCTATCTTTGCATTGGGAGTAATCTTGGGACAATACTCCATCTTATTTGAATCTTGGATTAGGTTCATATCATATGTGCCCAAGCCGGTGGGCAAGATGGTTCTGGATGCCACAAATCTCCGTAGTTGCAACCCTTTTCAGCTGGATGATGGTGACTACATCACTCTTGAAGAGGTCGCTAGGAAAGCCCCTGCCGAGGGAAGTTCGTTAGTTGAAGAGCTTGAGATTCCTGTTGGAAAGTTGAACCTAGCGTTACAGAGCTTGGGTGGAGATGCTGAGAACGAAGGCGAAGAAGAGAGGGAAGAGGGAGAAGAAGGAGAAGAAGCAGAAGAGGTCGAGGAGAGTGACTCTGAAAGCGAAGAGAATGTAATGAGGAAGGAAGTAAGGACCAAGAAAGAGCATGATGCAATGACACACGAGGAACGTGTGGTGACCCTCATTCGTCAGCAAAATCGGATGATTGAGGAAGGCTTCTCTTTCATGAAGGCTCAGTTTGTCACTGTCAATCAGAGGTTAGACAAGTTGGAGGCTGGTTCTAGCCGTGGTGGAGTTGAGGAAGACTCAGACGAGGATGCCGAGGAGTCGGAGGATGAATCCTCTTAGGCCCGGAGTTTGAGGTAAACTCGTTTCTTCTCTCGTTTGTTGTTGCCGTGTGGTAGTTGTTGCTTGTTGGCTGTGCTGGGTTGTTCTCTCTTGTTTGCCTTGGTTGTTAGCTTGTTGTTTGGGTAGTTGGTTTGGTTGTTTTTCTTTGCTAGAATCTAGTTGTTTTGAGTTTAGGTGTGGTGTAGAAGGCTCCTAGCTGTCCGTAAGGTGGTGTTTGTCTTTGTGTTACTTGATAAACTCCTTTTGTGACTTTTGAAACCTTGCATTTTCTTGATTTTTGAAAATCTTACACCTTTTGAATCCTTGAAGTCTTGTTTAATGGTATTCTTGCTTCCTTTTGTCACATTGTTGATTCCTTGTTACCCGTTTGATTAAACTCGTCGTGGCCAAGCTTCGGGGACAAAGCTTCTTGTTAGGGGGAGAGGATGTGACACCCCGTAAATCCAAACACTAATCAAGGATTAATTAAAGAATTAATCCTAGTCTTTTTGCTAAAATATTCCTAAAAATCCTGAAATTTAATAGTCGAAGGACTAGATTTTGACTAGTCAAGTCAAAGGGTTGTACCTTGTGTTTCTTAAGTTGTGCCCTTGTTCCCTTGTCTTTCCAACATTAGTAAGGGGAGGAATGTCTTTCTACCTAAGGTTTGTGATTCAAGCTAACCTAGCAATGTTCTTTCATTTCATTCACCCTTCAATCTAAAACACAAAAACCTCTAGCCTCTCTCTAAAATGGTTTAACTTCTTCTCCAAGCTAGAATTTGAGCATCCAAGTCTTGCAAGATTGTCTCCTAAGATTCCTACTTTCTTCATCTTGAGCATAGGGAGGGTAAGATCCTTGGTCTTTTGGTGTTTTTAACCTTCTTTTAGGTGTCTTTTTTCTAAAGATAGGATCTTTGTTGTGTTTTGGTTTGTGTATGAAGTTGGTGTGGAAGAGGAGCTCTAGGAAAGGCTTTTTAAGGGTGAAAAGAGGAAGTTATTTGGCTACAAAGATAACCCATGCTTTACAAAACCTATTTTCTTACTTATATGATGATTCTTGGCTTCTACTTGTGATTCTTGTGTGATTTGTGAGAATTGATGCATTGTCTTGTGGTGATGCATGTTTAGAGCTTGTTCTTAGAGTTCTTATATGCCATTGCTTGGCTATTTCTTGGGTTCAAGTTATATTGTTGTTGTGTGTAAGATTTTGGATGTTTTGGACTTGAATTTGGACTTGTTGATGAAAATCCCCGAAGGGATAATTTGGAGAACAGGTGGTGATATGGACCTAATCCAAGATTCAAATAAGATGGAGTATTGTCCCAAGAATGCTCTCAATGTGAAGATAGAGATGGATCAAAATACCTTAAACCTCACGAGAAACCCTTTGTCTCGAATCCTCAAAGACTTGGAAGAATCCCATGTAGCTTCAAGTACCTCGATGTTGCAATCTTCAATCAACTAGAGTCGGATCTAGTTTCCTTCGATTCAAGAACGAGTCCACGAACCTAAATCTAAGGTTGAAGAAAGTAAGATTGATTCGAGTCCACGAATCAATTTGCTAGTCGAGTCCACGACTAGCCACTAATTGAGTCCACAATTAGCCATAAGGTTTCTTACACAAGTGTAAAGAAAAACTTAAGAATTTTATTGAATTAAAGCCTCCTCAAAACTGATATGGATGTGCCCTATTTATAGGTATAGGGCAACATTGTAATCTAAATACAATGGAAAAAAAGAGTCCTAAACCTAATCTAGAAAACAAGTAAATAGAGTTTTATTTAGAAAAGGATTTAAGGAATCCTTTCTAAATACAACTAGTGTTTTCTCTTTAATTCTAAACAATTTAAAATAAATGATGACCACAAATAATAAAGCTGATTTGGGCCTCGGATCTTGTGATTGGCCCAATTTGTAATCTTAATGGATCTTCATTATGTTTGGCCGCATCAGGTGGTACCCGCGAGCGGAATGGCGAGCAGTGGCCTACTCGCCGCCCCACCCGCGGGGTATATGGCCTGGTGGGTTGTGTACCCGCGGGCGGACCCACGGGTGGAGGTCCACCCGTGGCCCCACCTGCGGGGTACCATGTTGGTGACGGGCGGGGATTTGTTCCCCGTGATTCTTTTGTCTCGGTATTGATGTTTTGACCTCCCGATGTTGTTTTATTGGGCTATTTGTGAGTCTTCTTGATGTTTCGTATGTCTAGAACGATATGTTAGGAATCCATGTAGGATTTGGTGTCTTGAATCGTGCTAAGGGTCCGACATCGTGATTCGTTGGGCGAATGTGAGTCTTGAATGTTCTTTGGAACTACTTTTGGTTTACCCGTTTGTTAAGCATGCTAGTTTGATGTTGAAATGCTAGTATGTGTGGTTTGTTCCTTTCTATTGGGATTGGCAACTTGTGTTGACAATCATTTGGTGTTGGATTGTGATCCCTTGTTGTTGAGTATGGTCTCATGTCTTTGTTGTGATCCCTTGATTGATTCCTATGATGTGAACGTATGTAAATCGTTTTACCCATTGATTGATACTTGATTAAGGTTATTGTTGAGCCTTAGTCTTCTTGGTAATGATGATGATCTTGTGTGACTATGATTGAAATTGGTGGTGTGCTATCTGATCTTGGCTCACATGTTGGAGGCTATGTGAATGAAATTAATGGTACCCTCGTGTACTGAGAGTTCGGCGGGATGTTGGAGGTTGTTGGAGGGGGGACGACGGTCCCTGTGGTACAAGGTTGGACACAGAAGTATAAGGTGGCACTAGGAGATAAAGGTTGGAACTGAAATAAGGCCAGGGGTAGCCATAAGGTTTGAACAGGGCTTAAGGTTGGAACTATGATACTTGTGACATGTAGTTGTCACTGTTCCAACCTTATGACATGTAGTTAGCGGCGTGTGTGCCTTGACACTTTATGATTTGTTTGAATTGATAGTTTTTCCCGCCGGTGCACCTATGTCTGAGATAGGTGTGGCATAACATGTCCCGATTTTATATAGCCTCCGTTGCTTTATGTCTTGATGATTAGATGTTTTCCTGTGCATTTAAGTTTTAAAAATGTGGTAAAAATCGGGGGTGTACAGCCAATGACTGGTAGGCAAAAGAAAAAAAGAACTCATGAGCCTAATGAACCCCCCATTGGAAAATTTCAAGGCAATGTCGAATTATGACATGTTCAATTTGTAAACAAAAGGGACACAAAAAAAAACTTTGCCCTGCAAAGAGTTCTATGCCAGTTGCTGCCTCAGGTGGTGGTTCTGGCTCAACTTTTATACTCAAATACTTACTGATTTTCAGTTCTAATTGGCAAATAATTATAGTTTGTGTTTTTGTTTCTGTATGCCAGCTGCTGCTTCAACCTCAGGTGGTGGTTCTGTCTCAGCTACTACTCCCTCAGCTTCTGTTACTGCCTCAGGTGGTGGTTCTGCCTCAACTTCTAGGACAAGTAAACAAAGGAAAAGATTGGATGGCTTTGGTGTATACATCAACCCAAATATTGGAGCACAAATATTAAATGTAAGTGAATTGTGGTTCTTAATTTTATATACTTTCAGATGTTATAATTAGCATGACTAATGTATTAACCTTTATGCATTTTGTAGCCTGGACGAGGATGACACCAAGTGCTATCAGTTGGAAGTAATATAAGTGCATCTCCAAGAAGAATGAGTAGTAGAACAATTTAGGGCATTTAGAATCAGTAGTGGAACAATTTTTTTGTAATCCTATTTTGGCTATTAACTGTGGAAACTTATGATTGCTACTGCCAACTACCAACTTGTGGCCTAATATTTTGGTAATTGTATTTTGTAACTTGTGAATGGAGTCACTACTGGAAACTTGTGATTATTATGTTAATTAATGAGAATTAACTTTGGTAGTTTTGAACAGTTACTGGTTTATGGTTTATGGTTTTTGGTTTATGGTTTATTGTTGCTGTTTGGTAGCTTTTGCTTGGTTATTTCTGTTGCTTGCTGCTTGTTGAATGGTTGGTGCTATTAGTAAATTGGTTTATGGTTTATTGTTGTTGTTTGGCAGCTTTGGCTTGGATATGGTTGTTGCTTGCTGCTTGCTGAATGATTGTTGATATTTTAAAACTGGTTTATGGTTTATTTTTGTTGTTTGGCTTGGTTATCGTTGCTGCTTTACTGCTTTATTTTTCTTAGCACTTTTATTTTTGATATATCATGCTTCCACTTGTGCTTTCATGTATATATTCTCGACTCTAGGAATGACACTAAGGAGTATGCACAATTCCAAGAAGGCTTCATGATGATTCTTTGACACAAGAGATTCATTAGGGGAGTCACATCTACCTTCTCTACTTTCTTTAATTGTGTATAATGCTTTACTTGGTGTAGATAGTAGAGATTGTGCTCCTTGTGCTTATTGTGCCACCCTTTCCCCCATGTGCTTTGTTTTCTTTCACATCGAGGACGATGTAGTTTAAGTGTGGGAGAGAAGATAATTTGGGTGTTTTCTTAAAAAAAAATGAAAAATTGAAAATTTTGAAAATTTGCTTGGATGACTCATTGTGCATAAAGTTTGGTAAATTACTTTTCCTTCCTTGAATGTTGTGATTACTCCCTCTTTGTTGGTTTGTGGTTTTTTTTGATGGAACTTGTTGCAATTCAACTTATGATTGATGAGCCAAGGGGTAACTCATGATTGATTCTATTCTCTTGCCAATAGCCTTGTTAACCACTTAATAATTGAATAAATTCTTGATCTTGTGTGTTATGCATTGCTAGTGAAGGCTTATGTGAGATTCTGGTCATGGTTGTTTTGCTAGAACTTTCCCCATTACTCCCTAAGTGAAGTCTAAGATTTTGCATGTTTTGAAATGATTTAGGCCATTTTTGTTTAGCCCGAGCCTTTAAGCTACCCTTTACATATGTTTATATCCTTAGTTGTCCCCGTTGTGCCTTTTGTTTGTTTAATAAGTGCTAAGCACTTGTCTTCTCTTTGTGATTGTTTTTCCTTGTGTTAACCCTAATCTTCTAACCTTCAACCC